ATATGGAGACCCAAATGAAATAATAATAACTATTATTGTATAATAATACAATATATAATTATAATAATTATTATTTACATGGTGTTTTAAGGTTTGCAAAGTGCTTTAAATGATCGTCATTTGATCCTCACAACAATCCTGTGAGGTAGCTGCTATTATTATTCCTATTTTACACTTGAGGAAACTTAGGCTGAGAGAGGTCAAGTAATTGCCCAGGGTCATACTGGTAGAAAGGGTCTGAGGCAAGATTCAAACCCAGATCTTCCTGACTTCAAAGTTCAGCACTCTATCCACTGGAATATCCTAGCAGCCTGGGAAAGGCAATGACTTTCCCGAGGTTATAACAAATCAGTGGCAAAGTCAGACCCAAATCTCCTGCTTCCCGATACATTCTCCATATTGAAGTTTCTGGGCTGTTATGTTTCTTTTGTTGTTTTTGTTGTTTTGTTTTGTTTTTAGAATCCAGAGCAAGAACATTCCTGGAGAAGACTTTTAGCCCCATTTGGGCAGGTGAGAGGTAAGCAGTGAATGATACCAAGAAGACTAAAAGTTGAGGACACAAAGGAATATTTAATTCTGAAAACACAAACTGAAGCAAGCTGATGAGGAAGAAAACAGGAAAGTTGTGTCAAAAGAGTGGTGTGGAAAGTAGAAAACATCTTAGATGCTAACAGGAGATAGAAGCAAGGTTAGAGAGCAGAGGGAGCATGCACAGGTGCAACATAATTCTGGAAGAACGTCAGGAAGGCCAGAGAGTGCAAGAGAGGAGTCAAGGAACGGGCTTACTCTTCAGGATGGAGAGGAAGATCTTGGATTCTAACAACCTAAGAAAGCATTTCACATTGCTTTGCTGTTTGCTTACCGCTTGTCCTTGGTTCTTGAAGAGGACCGTGACATCAGGAAAATGATGCCACAACATGAAATGAATTGGATTTAAGTGAAGGACGGCTGTGCAAAGTCACCAGCTTACCTCTCTCCTCCAGAGCCATCTGGATCCAGTGGCCAGATATGGATCAGGACATCTGGAGATGGCCCAGGATGCAGTGGGAGGCCTTGGCCTTTTCAAGCTAAGGTCTTAGGTCTCAGTTTGACTGAGGCAACACCCATTCAATGATTAGGTTTATTAAGAAATGAAGCAGAGAATGGCCTCTTTACCTAGTCAAATAAATAAATAAATGAACAAATAAATAGATAAAAAATAGATCTGAGGGAGAGGGAGAAAAATTTTAAACTCAAAAGTTTATGGAAGTGATTAATGATGAATCAAAATAAATTAACAAGAAATTAAAAAAAAATAGATCTGAGAGGGAAAGACCCTAAGAGTTTCTGGGCAAAACAGGAACAATTGTTATTTACATTTATTTTGAGATAATCAGGCCCTAATAGTGACCAAGTAGGGATGGTTTGGGACCTATTGTTGGCCAATCAATGAGAGTCAGAGTGATCTGAAGTTAAAGCATGGTCCTTCAGAGAAAAAAGAAAAAAAAATTCAGAGATTAAAATTTACATTCCCTTTGGGCAGAGCACTGGCAGATAAGGGTGTGATACTCTCTGTGGACCAAGGGAAAGAGAGAGAGAGCTCCCAACCTTTTCTCAAACGTCATCTCCACAACAGTCCTGTGAAGACGGGACAATCCCACCAATTTCCTGTATGAGAAATGTGAAACTCTGAGTGGTTTAAGTTAATTAACTTACTCATGTGGCAAAGAATTCGAAATTGAGAGGATGCCCATCAATTGGGGAATGGCTGAACAAGCTGTGGTATATGAATGTGATGGAATACTATTGTGCTATAAGAAAGGATGAGCAAATGGACTTCAGAAAAACCTGGAAAGACTTGTATGGTCTGATGCTGAGTGAAGTGAGTAGAACCAGGAGAACGTTGTACACAGTAACAGCCACGTTGTGCGATGACTAACTTTGATAGACTTAGCCTTTCTCAGCAATGCAAGAATCTAAGACATCTCCAGAGACCTCATGATGGAAAATGCTATCCACATCCAGAGAAAGAACTATGGAGTTAGAATGCAGATAGAACCATGCTATTAGCTATTTTTTTTCTTGTTTTATTTTCTCTTTCTTGTGGTTCCTCCTATTGGTTCTAATTCTTCCTTACAACATGACTAATGTGAAAATATGTTTAATAGGAATGTATATGTATAGCTATATCAGATTGTGCACTGTCTTGGGGAGGGAGGTAGGGAGAGAAGGGGAGAAAAATTTAAAACCCAAAAGATTATAGAAGTGATTGTTAATAAATCAAAATAAATTAATAAAAAAAAGAATGGAAAAAGATTAACTTACCCATGGCCACATGACTGGCAAATGTCAGGGACAGGTTTGGGCCCCATTTTTCCTGACTCTAATCACTATACTGCATTCAAAAGAAGATAACTAACTCAATTCTTCTCATTTTGCCTACTGTCTCTGCCAAGGAAAACTATAACTGGACTGCAAAGGGCAGAACAAAAATGGCTCATTAGGGAATTGAAACCCAAGATAAAGAAGTAAATAGTAAGAAAAGACTCAGCAGCTCTTGTCAGTTCAAGTTCTCAGGTCCCAGGGAACGACATTTTTTAGCCCTGAAAGGCAGAAGTTATAGAGGTAGAGCCCAACCTGATGGAGCAACTTGCCAGCAACGAGAACTCTCCCAAATTGAGTCAGGGGGCTCCCCTTTCTTTGAGGCCTGCTGTTGAAGGCCATATGAGCACCAGTCCGGTGTTGGGTAGACCGCATTCTTAGTCAGGGAGAGGTTGGACTAGGTGACTTGTGAGTTCCCTTCCAACTCTAAAATTCTGTGGAAGCCCGGTTCTGATGGTGAAAAGAGGCCTCCTGGAAGGAACGCCACTTAAAACGTTTTTATCTTCTTCCTAAAGTAAACAGTGAAATACCACACCCTTCCTCTCCACAGGGATGCAGTCACAACTGGGAAGAACCTATGTCATCTTGTCCAAACACTACGAATTTGGAGCCAGAAGACTTATGTACAATTTCTGTTCTCTTTACGTTTGTTACCACCCTTCTTTTCCTCATGAGTAAAATGAAGGGGTCTGATTAGAGGATCTTGAAGGCTCTCTTGAGCCTGTGAAAGTGCCTCATTTAATAGGTTACAAAATTGAGGCCCAAATCAGTTTAAATCGGTGGAAGAAATGGGATCGGACTGAGGGTTTTTGCTGCTGTAAACAGGTTGCTTCGTCAGGGGTTTTTTTCCGTGAAGGTCCTTCCTCTTCAGAGAGATACTCTCCAGAAGGCTATGCCGTTGGTTGGTCTTTCAGGATGAGATGTGAAATGTCCTGTTCCTCCTGACCTTTTTTTCTTTTTCCAATCACAAGTGGCAGGAAACTGGCTCAGCATCAGAGGAATAGCATCCTGGTCCATGAACGTTTCCATGACTTTATTAGAACACACAAGGATGGCACTGGTATACAAGAGAGGGAAAGGGCAAAAGGGGAATTTCAGATGGAAGCTCACCCACTATGTTCCTTTAGGATTAAGGCTCTGGGTCCCATCTATACTGTACAGTAACTAGAGACATTAGTTAAAAAGCAGTAAGAATACTCAATGGGCTAATACTGTAATCAAATGGAGCAATAAATCACATGGGTTATTACTTCTACTCATAGATATGTAAACCCTCTATGGGCGACTCTTAATTACTTCCACTACTGAATGGTGGACCGATACAGTTAATTCTACGTCATCTTTTTTAGCACACACATGGGACAACCTTCCAACTCTGCCTAAGACACGACTCAGGAAAAGCTGAGGAAGCACCTTGCTTCTCTTTTCTGCCTTTCTGATCAACAGCCTGTTCTGCATCCCATACTGTTGACAGACAGCATCACATCTGAGAACTGCAAAGCCAGAATCAGAGCTGAGCTGTTCTGTCTCTTCCTTTTCCAAGAAGGGAGGTGTCCGGAAGGGATTAAACATTTTGGTCTGCAAATCTTGCCTTTCAATTGTTGCTGGGCTGCAGCCACTGGGTGAAGAACAGAATAAAAGAGTGGTAATATTAATATTGACTAATGCCATGAACAATTAGATGAGTTGACCCAGGACCCGCATGGGCTTCTATCATGCTCAAGAATGTAACTTGGCATCTGAGAGCATACTAATCCTTTCCTGGAGTGTGGGGAGAGCTTGGGCGAACTTAGGCTAGTGGGTCCAAAGCAATATTGTTTCTTGAGCCTTAAGGGGAGTGGTCAGCTGTCACCCCTGTCACAGGGGGAGTCGCTGGCCTAGTTAGGACTGCCTGCAGACCCCAAGGACTGGAGACTAAGGATGTTGTCATCTGGATGGAAGACCCCTAGGGAAAGGACATGAAGGGCAGATAAGTAATTGTTGAGCAATGATAATGTGTTCCCCCAAAGGAATGTTTAAAAATGTGAAGAGAAGGAAGAGAGAGTTTTCTTCCCTTTCCAGTTACTGTCAAGAAGACATCAAGCTTGACCCATCTGGGATTTAGGACCAAGCCATCATAAACAACAGTCATGGGCAGAGAACGTTAGGCCCTCTTCCTCCTCAGTAGAGTTATCAAAAATATCTACAAACTGTGCAGACTAGAAAGGACAAATAGGAAAAATACTTTTATATGTATATAAAAAAGGTGCTCCTGCACCACGGCCTTGAATACCAACTCAGGAGGTGGTGGCCTGAGCTGGATTATGGGAAGGGGCCTTTGCACAGGGAGGAGGGTGAGTAAGGTGTGGCTCCGAGAGCAGAAGAGAGCTTGGTTTCCTGTTTTCTCTAATAGTTATGGCTTTTTAATGCTCGATATTTTCCTACTGGTCTCCTGAAAAGCCAGGTTCTTTGGCTGGATCAAATTCTTTTGAAAAGAACCTGTGTTGGGTTAGTAGACTCTCACAGTGCTTTGGCACACTATATGTGCTTAATAAATGCTTCTTGAGCTGGGACTCAAAAGTCCCACTGAGAGGCTGCTAGGTGGTGCAGTGGATAGAGCACCGGCCCTGGATTCAGGAGGACCCGAGTTCAAATCCAGGCCTCAGACACCTGACACTAGCTGTGTGATCCTAGGCAAGTTACTTAACCCCAAGTGCCTCAACAAAAAGCAGAAAAGTCCCACCAGGATCACTTGCAAAAATCCTTCTGCTGGGAGAGGGTGTTGAGGGTCTAGTTAGCCAGACACAACAACCAGCTTAATCCAGTGTCCTAGAGAACTGGTGTCCAGTGAGACTTGGAACAGTTAGAATGGTAAGAAACTTCACAGATTATCTAACCCAACCCCCTCATTTTTCAAACAGGCCTAGAGGGGCAAGGGTGGATTGTTTATGCTCAGTAGGCTCACAGTAAGCACCTGAGGGGGTGTCAGCTGTAAGAGGGCTCAGACTTATCCTGCCTGGCCCACAAGGCAGAATCAGGAGCAATAGGTAGAAACTGCAAAGAGGCAGACATGAACTAGGCTTGACATAAGGAAAAGCTCCCTAACTATCAAGGGTGGAACGTGCAGATAATGGGTTTCCCTCCTTACTAGGGGCTGGATGACATTTGTTGGGTACAGTGTAGTGGGGGCTCTTTTTTGAGTATGGGTGGGCCCAGGTGGCCAATGAGGTCGCTTCCTACTCTGAAATCTTGATTCTGACTCATGCAGACAAGAAGGAGATCCAGGATTTGAAGCCAGGTGTTTGGCTCCACATCTAGACTCTTTTCACTCTACCATGCGACCTCAAGGTTGCACTCAGGTGAGCACCCAAGGACTGAACTGAACGGGAGGGAAACTTCCTGGTTTCCACTTCTCAAGGCCAGAGCCCCAGTGGTGTTTGGCTTACGGGGTCCTCTGGCTACCATACTGCTCAACAGTGACTCAGAGGGGCAGGAGACAAGCAGAGGACACCAAACAGCATCTGGGGAAGACAGGCCCCCCAAGGAGGGTGGCAGCCATGAGGTCTGGCTACCCAGGTCTTGGACCTGCTTCTTTCTACATTGGTCCTCTCATGACTTGTCTTCTTCAAGGGTGCCCCTGGTCTCCACCCAAACCTGGTTTCTCATTGAAAAACAGAGACCAGATAGTGGGGCCCCTTAGGGGCTTTCTGGTGACGTGGCTGCATCTAGCTTCAGTCTCCCTTTCTCTTCTGACCTGAACCACATGGCAGTCTGGCTGGGCCAACTCCCCCAAATCTTGGAGAAGACAACAGTATTAAACAGAACAAGTCAGGGCAGACTTCAGGGGAGCAGAAAGGCTGCTCAGGACGGACAACGGAGTCTCCTTTGGCCTGAGGGTGAGGCAGCTGGCAAAAGGCACACAGCTTGGTGCCTTCCAGACCAAATCCCAGCTCTCTTTCCCCAGAGCTCCTCAGCCCAAATAGACAGGAGGATTCTTGTCTTGATACCTTGCTTGCTTTTGAAAAGCTAGAGGCAGTAGGCCAGCCCTAATGGAGAACAAAAGGAAGGGTCCCAGGGCTGCCAAGTCCTCAGGTGCCAGGGCCACTAGAATGGGTCTTTCCCCACAGGAAACCCTAGATGCCAATCCTATTTCTTTTCTAAATTAATATTTAGGGCTCAAAACAGGAGCAGCTGAAGGAAACTGAAAAAATGGAACCTAGGGAGCCCTACACCATCAAGGGGGTTTCCAAAGATGCCAAGGCCAGTAGTTGCACCTCAAGGAGACAGTTCGGTGGGACTGAAATGTGTGAAGCAGCACTCAGCTCCGTCCTTGTAGCTGATGGGGGAATTTCAGTCACACCTGGGGACTGAAAGAAACCAGCCTGGAATAAGAAAGTTCATCCAGCGTGTGCCCTTTTGGCTGGGGTCCTAGGGCTGAAGGAAGGGCTGGGCTCGGCGAAGCCCCTCTTTCAGGAATTGTGCATAGGTGGTTGTGGATGGATCTTCAAAGGTCGATGAGAAGCTGAAGACACCAGTCTCAATATCTTCTGGCTTCAAGGAAGTGATATCCAGGAAGTAATTGGCATTAATATGATGCACCTGGGAAAGAAGCAACAGGTAAGAGAGGGTTTAGCAGAGGATCCACAAGGTTTAGCATGGCTGGATCCCACTCTTAGCCACTCAGAAACAGGCAGGGGAAATCATGTTCTTGCTCTGGTCTCCCTGGCTAATAGGATGGGAAAGCTGTGGTTTTGGCTTGAGCCTTGCAGTAAAAGGTATTCTTGGAGGGCGGAGCCAAGATGGTGGAGAAAAGAAAGGGACCTGCTTGAGCTGTCCCACATTTCCCTCCAAACAACTTTAAATAATGCCTCAAAACAAATTCTGAAGTGACAGAATCCACAGAAGGATGGGGTGAAACAATTTTCCAGCCCAAGACAACCTAGAAGATCGGCAGCAAAGGTCTGCTGCACTGAGATGAGAATGGAGTGTAGTCCAGTGCAGACAATTCATTGGCAAGCCAGCAGCAGGCCTTTGCAAGCAAGTGAACTGGCAGCAGCAGCTTCCACAGCTCTCAGGCCACAGACAGTACGGCAGTCGGCCAACTGGTCACAAGGACATTGCAGGGGTCCTTTTGCTGGCACTGGGGTCAGGACTCTGTTCCATTACCCATACCTGGAGACCAGGGCCACAGTCCTGTGTTGCAGTCCCAGGGTAAGGAGAACTAGCACATCAGAGCGGGCAGCCACAGGGGAGCAGAGACCCTGGTCACAGTTCCAGGGCAGAAAACAGTGCTTGTGATCTCTCACAGATCATAGGCCAGGAGAATAGGAAACACACCTCTCCTTAGATCATACCACTTTGGAAGAATTAAAAGCTTACAGACTCCCATAACTAGCTCTGAAAACAACAGCATAAAGAACCTGAAGCTTGGGAGAGTGCCCTCTTCAACCTGGGAGCAGAGCCCAACCTTAACATAAAAAGTCAAGAAATAGGCTAAAAAAATGAGCAAACAACAAAAAAAAGAACCTGACCATAGAAAGTTACTATGATCACAGGTAAGACCAAAACACAAACTCAGAAGAAGACAACAAAGTCAAAATTGGTATATCCAAAGCCTCAAAGAAAAATGTGAATCGGTCTCAGGCCCAAAAAAGAGAGCTCAAAAAGGATTTTAAAAATCAAATAAGAGAGGTGGAGGAAAAATTGGGAAAAGAAATGAGAGTGATGGCAGAAAATAATGAAAAAAGAGTCAACAGCTTGGTAAAGAGGCACAAAAAATACCGAAGAGAATAATACCTTAAAAAACAGAATAGGCCAAATGGTAAAAGAGGCATAAAAATCCACTGAAGAGAAGAACTTAAAAAGTAGAATTGCCCAAGTGGAAAAGGAGGTATAAAAGCTGACTGAAGAAAAAAAATTCCTTAAAAAATAAATGGAAGCAAATGAAAAAAAAAAATGGAAGAAATTGTAAACTATCTCAATGGAAAACAACTGACCTGGAAAAAAGATCAAGGAGCAATAATTTAAGAATTATTGGACTACATGAAAGCCATGATAAAAAAAGAGCCTAGACATCATCTTTCAAGAAATTATCAAGGAAAACTGCCCTGATATCCTAGAGCTAGAAGATAAATTAGGAGTTGAAAGAACTCACTGACTACCTACTCAAAGAGATCCCAAAATGAAAATTCCCAGGAGTATTATAGCCAAATTCCAGAGCTCCCAGGTCAAGGAAAAAATATTGCAAATATCCAGAAAGAAACAATTCAAATATCATGGAGCCAGTCACGATAACACAAGATTTAGCAGCTTCTACATTAAAGGATCAGAGGGCTTGGAATATATCCCAGAGGACAAAGGAGCTAGGTTACAACCAAGAATCAGCTACCCCAAAAAACTGAGTATAATCCTTCAGGAGAAAAAATGGACATTCGATGAAATACAAGACTTTCAAGCATTCCTGACGAAATGACCAGAACTGAATAGAAAATTTGATTTTCAAATATAAGACTCAAGAGAAGCCTAAAAAGATAAACAGGAAAGAGAAATAATAAGGGATTCTGTAAGGTTAAACTGTTTACATTCCTTCATGGAAAGATGATACTTGTAATTCCTAAGAACCTTACAATTATTACAGTAGTTAGAAGGAATATATACATAGACAGAGGTCATGGGTATGAGTTGAATATGATGGGATAATATCTCAAAAAACAAAATTAAGGAATGAGAAGGGAATGCATTGGGAGAAGGGGAAAAGAGAGACAGAATGGGATAAATTTTCTCACAAAAAAGAAGTGCAAAAGAGCTTTTACAGTGGATGGGAAAATGGGGAAGGTAGGGAGGAGTGCTTAAATCTTACTCTCATTGGAAGTGGCTCAAGGTGGGAATAACATATACACTCAGTTGGGTATAGAAATCTATCTTACCCTACAGGAAAGTAGTAAGGGAAGGGGATGAAAGAAGGGAGGGAGTAACAGAAGTGAGGGCAAATTGAGAGAGGTGGTAGTCAGAAGCAAAACACTTTTGAGGATGGATACGGAGAAAGGAGAGAGAGAATAGGATAAACAAGAGGAAAAATAGGATGAACAGAAATACATAGTGCAGTGAATAGAGTGTTGGGCCTGGAGTCAGGAAGACCTGAGTTCAAATCCAGCCTTAGACACTTCCTAGATGTGTGACCCTGGGCAAGTAATTTAACCCTGTCTGCCTCAGTTTCCTCATCTGTGAAATGAGCTGAAGAAAGAAATGGTGAACTATTCTAGTATCTCTGCCAAGAAAAAAAATGGGATCATGAAGAGCTGGACATGACTGAAATGACTAAACAACAACAAAATCATAACTGTGAAGGATTTTTTACAGCAAGCATCTCTGATAAAGTCCACCCTTCTCAAAGATATACAGAACTGAGTCGATTTGATGAAAATAAGGAAAAGCCTTCAGACATTCCCCAACTGATAAACGGTCAGAGGATATAAACAGGCAGCTTTCACATGAAGTAAAGTTATCTACAGACATATGAAAAACGCTCCGAATCACTTTTGATTAGAGAAATGTAAATTAAAACAACTCTGAGATACCACCCCATGCCTATCAGATTGGCTAATTTAACAGAAAAGGAAAATGACACATGTTGGAGGGGATGTGTGAAAAGTGAGATACTAATGCACCGTTGGTGGAGTTGTGAACTGATTCAACCGTTCTGGAACGATGCCCAAAGGGATATAAAAAACCACTATAAAACCCTTTCATCCAGCAATACCACTACTAAATCTGTATCCCAAACAGACAAAAAACAAAAGGGAAAAGGACCTATTTGTACAAAAATATTTATAGCAGCTCTTTTTGTGGTGGCTAAGAATTGGAAATTGAGGGGCTGCCCATCAATCAATGGCTGAATGGGTTGTAGTACATGATCGTGATGGAAGACTACTGTGCTACCAGAAATGACGAGCAGGATGCTCTCAGAAAGACCTGCAAAGACTTACACGAACTGACACAAAGTGAAGTGAGCGGAACCAGGAGAACATTGTACACAGTAACAGCAATACTGCATGATGATCAACTGTGAATGACTCAGATGTTCTCAGTATTACAATGATCTAAGACAATTCCTAAGGGCTTATGACGAAAAATGCTACCCACCTCCAGAAGGAACTGATGGAGTCTGAATGCAGATGGAAGCATAATTTTTTAAACTTTATGTTTTCTTGGTGTTCTCTTTCACAACATGACTAATTAGAAATATTTTGCTTACCTTCTCAAGAAGAGGGGAGGAGAGGGAAAGAGGGAGGGAGAGAATTTGGAACTCAAAATTTAAAAAAAGTTAAAAATTGTTTATTTTTTAACATGTAATTGGGAAAAAATAAAATATTAAATAAATATAAAAGAAAAAAGGAAAAAAAGGTGTTCCTTCTCTCCCACTCTGAAACATGGCTTTGATCATGTCACTCTCCTGCTCAAGAGCCTATGAAGCAACTAGGTGGCCACAGCGGATAGAGTGCTGAACCTGGAATCAGGAAACCCTGAGTTCAAAACCCGTCCCAGGATAATTTACTAGCTATGTGATCCTGGGCAAGTTATTTAACCTCTCTCAGCCTCAGTTTTCTCATCTGTACAATGGGAATAATAACCTGCCTCACAGGGCTGTTGTGAGGATTAAGTGAGAGAATATATGAAAATGTATTGTAGACTGTAAAGTGCCATAATACGTTTTTTTCATCATTTTTATTATCATTTCTCCCTTTCATACCAAATCTAGATGGCCTGGCTTTCAAGTCTCTCCACTGTCTAGTCCTACGTGAGCTGTCCATCCTTAACTCCTCCTATAAATCCTCTACTCTCGGGGGCTTTCTTTTCCCCGTCCCTTTAATAAGTCACCCCCGTTCCCTGATTCCATCTCTGCCCCATTCCTGCAGGGAATGTCCTCCGTATTCCCTGCTGTTGTCAGAATGCCCTGCAGCTATGAAGCCTTTCCTGACTGCTCTGTTAGTCCTATGGTACAATCGTTCAATTCATGATTCCCTTAATTTTTTTTTTAACATGAGTAAATTTTCTGGAATTGAAGCCTTCCTCTGATGCAGAAATTTGTGGCAAAGTAGATAGAGCATGGGGCCTGGAGTCAGGTAGATCTGAGTTCAAATCCAGCCTCAGACACTAGCTTTGTGACCCTGGGCGAGTCACTTTAACCTCTGTTTGCTTCAGTTTCCTCAGCTGTAGAAGAGGGATAATAATAGAACCTACCTCCCAGGGTTGTTGTGAAGATCAAATGAAATGATGTTTGTAAAGTGCTTGGCACAGTGCTTGGTACACAGTAAGTGCTATTGTTCTTGTTCTTGTTATGTGTAGCATAAAGGCATGCCAGACGCCTGGGCCCTGGAAGGCCATGGCAGCTCCTCCTAAGGAGCTGGCCACCAGGTGAAGGGTCTGGCTGCAGTAACTTAGGAGTGGGTGGGGAGCGGCTGGAACGCTGAGGAGTAAGCCTCGTTGTCCCCCCTCCCCTGCCTCCAGTTAGACAGCAGGCACTCAACCGAGGTCTGAGGCAAGGGAAGAGCTGCAGGCAGCTAAGTGAGGAGGGCACATACCACTGTCCCATTGGGTAAGCAGATCATCATCTCCACGGGGAAGCTGTACTTCTCCAGGTGCAGGCTGGCCAGCTCCTTGTGGAATTCATTTTCTTGGTTGTTCTAGGGAGTTAACAGTTGGACAGTAAACAGTTTGGCGGCTCAGTCCTGAAACCGTCTCCCCCTGGCCTGTGCTCTCCCTCAACGCCATAGAGCCGGGGGAGGGGCCTCCCGCTCACCTGAAGATCCTCCAGCTCCTTCACGAGGGACCAGCTGCTGATGAAGTTGTCGTTGAGGAGGGTGAGGATGGGCGGACTTTCCAGGACTGTCTCCCGGAGAGTCCGCCCTGAACCTGCTCCAGGGAGAAAGCAGGATGTTATTTAGGGGACAGAGTCCCTCACACTGAGAGCTAAGGAATGGTTACAGTCCAAGCCTCTCTTGGGCCACCACGTGAATCTGCTGTCTTCTCAGATAGCCCCCGGGTCACAGGTGGTCTTAACCCCTCTCCTTGCCCAGGCCCCTCCCTATTCTCTCCTAGCCAATCCCAGCCCTTCACCTCAGCAGGACTGGTCATCCAGGGCGCCCCAGAGCAGGATGGAGTGCACCAGTTTGTTTTCGGCCTTGGCTCGGTCAAATGCTTCAGCGAATGGCAGGTAGGTGACCTAGGGAGGAGAGATGGGAGATCGAAAAGCCTTTGGTGTTGAGGGGACCGCTTGGCATCTCTCTACCAACAGCCCCCTGCCCTACGGTCAGGGTCATCCTCTCCTCACAGAAACCACACATTGATTGACTGACTGACCAAGGCTAAGCTGGGGATCAGAGAAGTGTTCTTTTCCTGGCAAAGCTTTCTCCCATGAAGCCCATGGAACTTCAAGTTCTGGTGAGAGAACTGCCCATTGCCTGCCCTCCTCCTTTGAAATTCCATCTCCTTCCAGCCTGAGAGCTCCCCAAACCTTGGTGGGTCCCAGCTCTCATCTTCCCGGGAGCTCCCCAAACCTCGGTG